ATTGACTAAGTTCCAATCCTTCATGCAAATGACCCTAAGGTTGTAACCTTGCCTTGCCCTAGTTTTTGCCCTCTTGGTGCACCAACTTTGAATGATCATAACTTGCTCATTTTTTGTGCTATTGATGCCATTATTTTTTTCAAACTACTCCTTATCATGTCTATTTTCATTTAATGAAGAAACAATTCAAAGATTGTTATCCTAGAAAGACTTTGATCCACTTGAAAAACATGTGTTTTTAGGGTTTTTACCTTGATGTTATTAAACTTTTTTCAACTTGTAACTTTATTTTTCTTGTGAGATTGATCTTTTATGATTCATATATGTTTTTTAACATGTTTAAATGTTCAAAGATGTTTGGTTCATTGCCTTACCATGTTCATACTTGCTTTTGTGAATGCATACATGTGAAAATGGCCTGTTGAGCTTCATATGTGAACTTTGCCATGATTCTTGATGTTGTAACCTCTTGAACATGCCCATTACACCTCATTTTACTTGTTTATGTGTCTTTTTAGAATCACAACATGTTTAGGGTTTGTTTCATTCCTTTGTGAAGGCTTGAATATGCATGGTATACCTTGAATTTCATTTGTGAACTTTGACTTAATTCTTGATGTTGTGACTTCTTGAATGTGCTTATCATGTCTTATTCTATTTGGTTATGTGTCTTGCTAGAACCATAACATGCTAGGTTTTTATTGTTGTCTTGGTTGTTACCATAAAACTTGTACGTTTTTCCCCATGAAGTTATGAATTTACACTTGAACTATTGTAACATCTTTTGTATTTTGCTTGATTGGTTGTCCTCAATACATGTTTGATTAGTCTTATGTTGTTTCATTTGATCTTGTTTGATTCTTAGTACATGATTGCTTCAAGTTGTAACTTGTTTGCATCAATTTCATATGAATGTTATAGATGAACTTGTTGTTACACATGTTCTTTGCTTACATTGTTGGTTATTACCTCTATGTCTTTTGATCTTTGTTAAGATGTTAAATGTCAATCTTGATTGTTATCATGATTGTTTACATGGTCTTACTTTATTCTTCAACTTTGTCAAGTTATTCCTCAGTGATGGAACTTGTTAGTTCACATCATGTTGTCTGTATCCCTTGTGTCCAAAGGAAAGTATCTCTATTGACCTCTGGATCATAGATAGCTTATTACCCTTATAGGCCTTGATAGAGCCATTTACCTCTCTATTGACCTCTGGCTTCTCATCGGTTAATAAGAATATGTAGACACAAGGTACGATATCTTGACGAGCACACCCCTGACACGGTCAGAGTCAATCCTTATAGGATTTGATAGAGCCTCCTCCCTCCTTTTGGTCTGGATAGAACCAATTGGTCTTACAATGTAGAATTAGGTAAAATTGGTTTACTCTATGTAGGAATCATGGTGATGATTACTTACTCCCCATTCTTGAGTTTTCAATATAGATCTAGAGAGTTTGGTTAAACTCTACACAAGCATTTTTATGTTTGTTCCCGTAGAGTCTTGACCATAGTCTGTCACGGTGAAATTTTGATATCAAACTATTGATTAGTTTGAATCGTTAATTCAATTTGCAACCGAACTTTGATTTGTCCAAAGGAAGGGATAAAGATCGAAATTCCCACAATGCAATGCAAATGCAAGTTTAGAGAGTTATAGGTTCGGGGGTTGGTTAAACTTAGGGAAGGTACTAGCATCCTAAATTTCTGTAGTACTCTACAGGAACCTCTTGTTTTATGTTTGTTTACTGCTAAGTGTTTATCTGCTTAAAGGATTAGAGACCCTAGTGGTTTATTTCTAAGTATACTCGATAAGGCATCGCACCTTGTGCCTACATATCCTTACGGGAGTGGAATCAGAGTATGTTGTAGTTCACCCTAAAGGGTTAGAGGAGCTCTTTGACTGTGGTCAAAGTTCCTACGGGTTTAGGGTAGTTGATTGATTGGGTTTAGGAGAAGAGACGAGTCTTCATATTAAGGGAGAGATAACCGCCACAAAATGTAAAAGGGGTTGTAGGAAATGGTCTTTGCATCATCTTAAGAAAAGGTCTTACATACTCGGATGGTCGCCAAGTATGCCTTTGTCATTCTTAAGGCAAAGTCCCTACATGTTTGATTGTATTGTTGTTGGGTGGAGATTATATCTCGCTTAAGATGATTAACATCTATTCTCTAAATGTGTTTGAAAAAGTTGTATTGTTGATTGTTTTGTCTAAGTTGTAGAAAGATTAAGGTCCTTCCTATGGGGTAAGATCTATCCTAAGCGATCAACTTGAATGGACTCAAGGATCGTGGGGAGTATGATGCTTATGAGATGCAACTACACACGACGTTGAATTATGTGTAGGTTTTTCCTTTGGACGGATGCAATGTATGAATAGATAAATATGATAATGTAAATGAATTGCGATAATGTAAATTGCAGAAAGATAAACCATACACGAACGCATGAAAGCGCTAAGTGAGTGTGTGTGCTTTGTGACTAAGATAAAGCAGATAAAGATAAATGTAAATACGCATGAAAGCGCTAAGTGAGTGTGTGCATTGTGAATAGGATAAAAGCAGATAAAGATAAATAATATATACGCATGAAAGCGCTAAGTGTAAGTGCATGTGTCGTGAGTGCACGATTGATTGATTAAATTGATTTTAGTTGGATTTGATTAATTGTGAGAGATTTTGGTTTGAATTGTGAGAAAATGTTAATTTTGATTTTAGTAAAAGTTGCTTTTTGATCTCTTAAACAAAAGTTATATTAATTAATTTATTTATAAACGTTGCATAAATTATTTGAAGTGTAAGAAAATATACTTTTTAATGAATTTGATTTTATAAAAAGTTAAATTAATTATATTTTTGGTGAAAGGTTTTATTATTAATATTAGCCATTAAATTGGATTATGTGGTTTTAAAAAAAATAGGTATAATAAAATAATTATTAATAAATTGGTGTATAAAATATATTTGATAAATAAAAGGTTGTAGTTATTATTTTAATTTTAAAAACTGGTTATAATGGAGATTAGTTAATTAAGACTGGTGAGGGTTTAACGGTGAATCATGTGTGTGTGTGATCCGTGTGTAACCAAAACGCAAAAAACGACAGAAAATAGAGTGAACCCTAAATCCCCTTTGCAACCCGAACCCCTGAATCGGAAGCGAACCCCTCTCTTGTTCCTCTCCAATCGATTCATCTTCGTTTTGATTCGCCATGCTCCATTCATTTTCCTCTGAGAATCAACCTGCACTAACAAATCGAGCGATCAAATAATTCAGAACTTTAACATGGGTGAGAGCTTTACCGCGAATTGGGCGGCGGATGGTGATGGAGTCTCGTCGATTGGTGTTGCGGCGGCGTCTTGAGTGATTCTACCGATGGAAAAGAGATAAGTTTCCTCTCCTTGATTTCGCGATAGCTTCTTCTTTTCTCCCTCTTTCGTTTTTTCCATCGATCCCCCTTCTCTTCTCAACACTCTCTTTATATAGGCCTCAAAGGGGGATTAAAGTCTGATTGAATGCTTTTTAATCATTTTAATGCTGATTGGAACCCAATTTGAAAAGTTTCCTCTTCTGTTCCAATTTTGTTGAGCGTTTTGTTAAAATAGATTTTAATGCGTCGATCTCGTTTAATAAGTTGTCTGTCCAGGTTCAATGCTTGGGGATTTGGATGGGATATTCTGAATCTTTGTGGAATATCCTCTGATTGATTTTGCTAACTTGATTTCTGGCTTTGGCAGGTGCGGAAAACACACAAATTGTTGGGCCAGCTGTTGAATTAGAAGTCCAAAAGGGAGGGGCCCGTGTTTGATGCTTTGGAAAAACTTCACGAAAAAGAAAACCGGTGCTGCAGTAGGTGGAGGAGTAGCTGCTCTCAGCTGATGTCTCTGCAAATCTTCTTCTTGTTCAGGTGTTGGTGATGCTAGTGGCAGCTTTCAAGCCTTGCCATGGAAGACTCCCTTTCAGAGAAAGCAAGTGACTCTAAATCATCGCTTTTGTATTGTTCAACTCCAAGGTAAGCACTTAACACTTGCATATCGAGCTGTTCCAGTCAGGTTCTCGTTTTCCTATAAGCCGTTGATGCGGAGATAATATTTGACTGCCATTGCGTTTCGGTTCGCAGGTTTAATGTGGTAGGCTTTATTTGCTCTTGCTGGTGCGTGGCATGACAGGTTATTGGCTTGGGTGGTTTGGTGTGTTATCCCTGTTGGTATTTGTAGCTGATATGGAAACGCTGGTCGTGCTGATGTTCCTTCATTATGGTACTAACTGTAACCAAATCTCTCCAAATCATTCAGACTTCATCGTTAATAACAATTCTACGTTTTTAACATATGCAGGGTAGAGGTGTGGGCTCTTCGTTCTCGTAAAAATCTAAAGTTATTGGGGTTCAAGGGCTATTTGGTTCGTAATCTGTCCCTCGACTTGCCTATGTTCGCCCTCTGAGCTTGGGGCGGTAGAGATGCAATTGGAATATTGCAAGAGATGCTTGAACTCATCCCCGCTCCATAACTGGATCAACTCACTTCAGATAGAGATGCAAGAGGATACTGCTGCTCCAAAACTGGTGAGAGGAATCCTGATTCATCTTTGTAACTATGTGGTTTAATTCACTTCTGAAAATTCCTAACCAATATGTTTATTGGCTATGACTTGTTGGCTGATTAACTCTATTTCTGTTGCAGGGAACGATACCACAGTGGTTTGAACCCTGATGGTTCTTTCCAATTTTGCTCACCAGGTCATAGATTGGGTATCTCTCCCTGACGAATATTGTCGTAGACCATGCATTGATTGTGTTGCTTGTTACTCGTGCTCAGTCGTTGGAGATGTCCGAAGATATTGATCTTGTCCACTCTGGTTCTCTTTGCAAGTCACGACATTTGAACGGGTTTGCTAGAAAGGGAGCTTGGCTGGAGTTAACGTGAGGTTGTGGCTGCATGACTTCTTCTGAGTTTTGGTTTAACATATAACTGCTTAAGGCCTTTTCAACGAATTAGGATGGTTCTGATGAACGCTGGCGTGGAGAAGCTCGTACCACAGGATGAAACAGCGTCATGGTGTAAGTTATCTCTCACAAAATCCTTAAATGACAGCTGATTTATGGTCTGAATTTTGATCTGTCTTTCTGAACCCTTTACCAAGAATGTCGACTTGTCAATGTCTAGTTCACAGTGTCATGCATTGTGTCAATGGATTGATCAACTTTGCAAATTCCCTTTTTTGCAGGGATGAATGTATTTTGTAGAATTATAGTGGTGGCCTGCATATCACCGTCTCGTCATTTGCAGGGATTGCCATAACGTATGACGCCTATGCTGGTATAGTGAAGCAAAAACTATGCCAACAATCTATCTATGGTGTCTGTAGTGATGCTCCTGAAGATGCTATTGTTTGCGGTCATGCTGTGGTGTTGCTAATTCTTCTCAAATCTTGTATTTACTCTTGTAAGCAAGACTCGATTTCTATGTGCTAACAAAATAAATGTGTAGTGGTTTACTGCAGATGTAAGTAAGCTGAGTTGCTTGAGCCGGTCTCCGACCGTGTGGGCCTCGTTGGTTAACTTGTTCTATTGGCGCCACTATTGCTCTGCTGTAGCAGTTGCAGTAATTCCTTAAACTGGTATTGCTCGGTTGGACTGCGTACTATGTGCGAATTTACACGCGATTGGAGTTGCACAAGGAACCGCAAGGGTCATGTTGCTTTCCTCAGGAAAAAGTAGTGCAGCGGGCAATGATGTAGAACCAATGGTAACAAGTCAAGCTAGGGTCTATTGCGATCTTTCTTTCCGCATTTGGTTTGGTTACCCTCGAGCCACTCATGCTCCTAATCTAATCACTTCCCTTATTCTTCTATTTTGCATTTTTGCAGTGCTGTTGCTCAAGCTGGTGTTGTGTTGGTTTAAAAGAAATCTTGATACATTGCAGGAAAGGGAAGCTTGTGCTGGTTCTTAACTGGATGACGGTGAATTGTCCCTTACGAGTTGCATTCAAAGTGGTGTTCTATGCTTGCCAGGTTTCCGAAGCACACTGAATATAGCTCAACTGTCAACTGTACCACATATCCGTAGCCTACCATCAACTTGTGTGGTTACATCATCTTGGAGAACTCTAATACAGCAAACCAACTCTCACTTGCAAACAATTTTGGAGCTGGCGCGACGAGCATGACCCTCTCAGCTTACGTATGTTACTTGACTTTCGGCTTTACTTTGAACTCGTCTTCTGTGGTAGCTTTTTTCTTGCAAACGTTCTAATTGTTGAAGCTTACTTTATCACTCTGTTCATATTTTAGCTGATAATTCATTCTGATATTTGCGAAAGCTGACGTGAGCTGATAGGAAAATTCTTCGGTAATAGTGCTGATTATGGGATACCGCAATGGCTGCTGCAAAGCTTACTGATGTTGATGGTGCTCTTTCAATGGTAGGAACAACATTTGCAAGAGTTTTTGTTTATCTTTAGAATGGGCATGATGACCCTGCTGGCTTTGCCGTATTGTTGGAGAAACCACAAAGTATTAACTGATAACATATGCTCCATGATAACTTGATCGTTAACAGCCTGATTTCTTATTACTATTTCAGGTTTGTGAGTATGCCGGAGAACGGGTGTAGTTACGGCGCATTGGGAAGACGACTTTGGATCATGCTCAACACACAGAGCAAGGTATAAGGTCCTGCTTGGATATTCAAAGTCAGCACGATCTCTTCTACTGCCATCATCGTCAATCCTCGATAATTATAAGGCTTATGCTACGCACCACAACGAGGGTCTTGAAAGCTGGCCTTGTGGTTTTCTTGGAAGTGTTATTTAAAAAAGGGACCTTCTGTAGCTAAATGCATCTTGTATTGAACCTTAAGTAGCGGTCTTAGTATTTTTTTTAATTGGTCTCAGTACCAAAGGCATGTACATTGAGTATGCTTTTAACCTTTGGAATTGCCTCAAAGTTGTCATTATCATATTTCTCGGCTTGGATAAAATAAGTCAAGATGGGTAAGTGCCTTGTATGGAAATGCTCCCTGTATGTATTTAGAAATGAATGCATGGCTTTTCTTCCTTCTTTATGTGGTTAAGACCTTGATTATCACTCAAATTGGGTTTAATTCGATGAAACTTTTAATTCAATGCTTCCAAACACAAATGACCAGCATTCGAAAGAACAAAAAGGAAACCACCCTCTTGCATTAGGGATTCAAACTTCTAGCTATCTAACTCTCAAATCCTTGGTAGCTCGTAATGAGGGTAGACATGCCAACCTTGATCACAAACTCCATATTTGTCATAAATTTGCTCCTTGCATCTGATTCCGAATATCCTCAATAATCGACCATCCTGGTATCATATGAGATTTTTGTCCTAGAATTCTCTTAATAATTCGCCAAGTCCAATGTAACCCTCAAATGTAAAATCAATCTGAATCTCTGCTTCCTCGAGACATGACCTACGTCTTTGACGTATTTAATAATGAGCAAGAAAATTATCTCCACTCTGCATCTGCACAATTTGGTTAGTCATAAAAACATAAATAAAATAAAGTCAAACAATAATAGAAAAATGCGCAAAAAGAGGTGGGATTTTATGGTCAAAAATTAGGGTGCAACATAGTCAAGTACTTTTTAATCCTCAGTGAGGTGAACTACGATTGCTCTGATTCTATCCTAGTTAGGATACGTAGGCAGAAGATGCGATATCTTTGCGAGCAAACTTAGAAACATAAACCCTAGGTCTAAACCTTGTTCCTCATACCCTAATAAATATTAAACATAAATAACTTAGCATACAAACCTACAAAAGGTTCATGTAGAGTACTACAGATGTTTAGGATGTGAAATATCTACCCTAGGCATAACCAACCCCCGATCCCCGCATCTGTTAGCGTTGTTGTTATATCGCGTAAAAGGTCTTTCTTTCTTTAACCTTTCCTTTGGATAAATTAAAGTCTGGTTGTGAATTTAATGAATTAAGATTCAAGTTAATCAATAGCTTGACATGACGATTCTCACCGCAATAGCGACTCTTCTGTTTTTCCCGCGAGGTGTTTTTCGTAGTTGCAACAAGGTGTAACTGATTACTACTTTTGGTGTAACCGATTACACCCATGGCTTACGCCTTAGGAACTCACTTTGTGCTTGGTGTAACCGGTTACACCTGACATTTTTTGCCAAATTCTTGCTGTTTTGGGACTATTTTGCATGCTTTTCTTGTATACTTTCTCATGCTTGCCTATATTGATGCCAATGCTATTGTTTTAGGTTAGCACCAACTTGCAATAATTTTTTCTTAATTAGTTGCATGATTTTACTTGATTATCTTGCCATTTTCCTACATTCTTGAAGCACTTTTTGCACATTTTTGCTTATGCGTTAACATGATAATGCTTAGTAGTGCATGCTAGCTTGTTCTTGTTAATACTTTGCAATTCAACTTGATGCATTAGATTTGTTCTTCCTTGAGTAAATTTAATTTTGTTTAACATTATTTCCCACACTTGCTTTGATAATCGTTCAACTCGCTTGAAATTATTGGCATTTTCTCCCCTTTTGATTAATTGATCAAAACCTTATTTTGATTGTTTAATTACCCTCCCTCCTCTCTCTAGGATCTCCTTAAAACCCCTTCTTTCTTGATCCTGTTTCAAGTTGGACGACTGCGCAATGAGCCTGAGCACTATACAAATTCCAAGGCAACTTCAATCCTGTCAATCTCAATTTCCACACTACACTTTGGGTGCTAGATAAGGAATAAGGATGAAGTCTTTCCTACCCTCATTTTGACTATTTCAGATAGGGGGCGTTTGACCCTTAACCTAGAATAGTCCCCTCTATCCCCAGACTGTAGTGTCTCTTGAGTCAATCCTTGGTCACTCATTCCTGTCCCAAGTCTCTTCATTCCCTTTAGGTTAACATCTTCTCTTGGTTCAACACGTTTTCCTTCGGGTCAACACCCATTCCTTCGGGTAAACACCTTGGCTTGGTTCAACACCCTTTCCTTCGAGTTAAAACCTTCACTTGGTTCAATACCCTTTCCTTCGGGTTAACACCTTCGCTTGGTTCAACACCCTTTCCTTTGGGTTAACACCTTCTCTTGGTTCAACACCCTTTCCTTCGGGTGAACACATTCGCTTGGTTCAACACCCTTTCCTTTGGGTCAACACATTCGCTTGGTTCAACACCCTTTCCTTCGGGTTAACGCATTTGTTTGGTTTAACACCCTTTCCTTCGGGTTAACACCTTCGTTTGGTTCAACATCCTTTCCTTTGGGTTAACACCTTTTCTTTGTTCAACACCCTTTCCTTCGGGTCAACATTTTCACTTTGTTCAACACCCTTTCCTTCGGTTAACACCTTCGCTTGGTTCAATACCCCTTTCTTTGGGTTAACACCTTAGCTTGGTTCAACACCCTTTCCTTCGGGTTAACACCTTCACTTGATTTAACACCCTTTTCCTTCGGGTTAACACCTTCGTTTGGTTCAACACCCGTCTCTTTAGGTTAGCAACCTTCTCTTGGGCCAATACCCTTTCCTTTGGTTAAACACCCATTTTTTCACTGCCTGCCAGTTAAAAGATCAACTTCCTCCCTTCCTTTGGTTAACCACTTCCTGTCGGTTAAAAGAACATTTTCTTCCTTTCTCTTCGGTCAACCACTGTTTATCAGTTAGAATACCGAATCTTCAGCGGATCAAACACCTCATTTTTGGTTAAAGCACCCGTTTCCTTGGTTAACCACTGCTTGTCAGTTAAAAGACCAAATTTCCTTCTTTCTCTTCCCCAATGGAGTCTCTTTTTCCTTGGTTAACCACTATCTTCTAGTTAAAGGACCAAATTATTCTTGTCCCCTCCAGTAAAAACAACTCTTCTTTTCTTGGGTTAAAAACCGAGTCTCGACTCAACACCCTTGCTCTTACCTCTTCCACACTTTTCTCTCTCTCTCTCTCTCTCTCTCTCTCTCTCTCTCTCTCTCTCTCTCTCTCTCTCTCTCTCTCTCTCTCTCTCTCTCTCTCTCTCTCTCTCTCTCTCTCTCTCTCTCTCTCTCTCTACCTCTCTCTCTTGGTTTAAACACCACTTCTTTATCTCTTTTGGTTTAGACACCACTTCCTTATCTCTTGGTTTTGACACCACTTCTTTATCTCTCTTGGTTTTGACACCACTCTTTTATCTCTCTTGGTTTTGACACCAATTCCTTATCTCCCTTGGTTGTGAAACCACCTTTTAATCCTCATCCTTAGTTCTACTAAATACGAAGCTCTAACTTCCTCATTTCATTACGAGGATACGTAGGCACAAGATTGCGAGATCTTGGCG